ATCCTTTGTGGAAGGCATTTGTGGATTCCCAAATATATCTGGCTTTCTGTTGTGCAGGCACAAGGTGGAATCAACCGCCCTTCCCCCGAAGTTGGGTGGAATTCTGTTACTACTCCTGGCCAACTCATTGTATGTAGAAGTGAGGGGTGGAAGATTAGGGCATTTACTAATCAACAGGTATTGGGGTGCTAACTGCAAGGTCAGAGTTTCAAACCCACTAGCCACTCCATAGGAGAAAAATGAGGTTGTTTGCTTCCTTAAAGATTGATAGTCTCAGAAACCCTATGTAGGGTCTCTAGGAGTTGAAATAGATTGATGGCAGTGGGTTCGGCTTAATGAGACCCTTTCAAGACCTATTTTCCCTCTGGCACCTAAACTTAAAACCAAACCACTGCCACTGAGTCAATTCCAAGTCATATTGACTCTAAAGAACAGAATAGAACTGCTCCTATGGGTTTTTGAGACTATCAATGTTTAGGGGAGTAAAAAGCTTCATTTTTCTCCCTCAAAATGGCTGGTGGTTTCAAACTGCTGACCTTTTCCTTACCAACCTATCACACAATCCACTATGCTACCGGGGAGCCTTTCCTCTGCATAGAAACCAGTAATCTTTAAGATGTGCACTATCAGGTTGGGTTTCTGAGTGACTAAGATGACGTAGAGCAGGGGCGTCAAACTCAATTAAAACGCGGGCCATATCACATTTACAAATGTTGTTAATTTTATATTTGAAGTGAGGATTCAGGAATATGGATAGGATAATTAAAACACTACATAATTGCTTTTATTTAAACATGTATTTTATTTAATGTATTTATAAAACTAAAATTATTCTTTTTTACCTGAAACTTGCCAGCGCTTTCCTTCTAATAGTTTTCACTTACCTCTTATGTTGTGACCGAAAAATATAACAAAGTAACTAATAAAAAACACAAAATGTCGGACAGCTGATAAACATGATGCACAATCGTAATTGCTTCCCTCTAAAAATATTACCTAGCACTGGTGCTAGGTATGATTCATAACAGCACAACCCAGAATGCTCTTTGTAACCTTTTCACTATTGGGATCTATTTGCATTACGTGACACTGAGAGTGGCAGACATATCACTTCCAAAAGTCGCTGGAACTGAGTCAGTGTGTTTATACACGTCCACAGGGCCCCAAGAAAGGCACTGGGCCACACATATTCTCATCTTCAATAATTAAGCGGTTAACGAGGGACTTGTGTGTACAGTATTGCCTCAATCTCCCCTAAGTCTTATTTTCTTCATAACATTTTTACCTATTTTCATTTTATTTCAGAGCATTGCAGGCCACAAAAATTACTTGAGGGGCCGCATGCGGCCCGCGGGCCACCAGTTTGACACCCCTGACCTAGAGGATACACAAATATCATATGATTAGAAAGTAAGTTTTTGGTAGTGGTGTCTTTAAAGTACTGAGATGTGAACTACCACTGCACAATCTGCCCGATCTTGGCTGACTGACATCAGTGGAACTCAGAAATGGGTTATCAGAACAGAAAAACAAAACCCCCAAATACATAGCCAAGCCTTAGGAGCTAGGGGACGGGAAACAGCTACTTGAGGTCACAAGGACAGCCATTTAAACTGTGAGGCTGGCGCAGGGCTGGGCAGTCCCTGCTCTACTGTACACAAAGCGGCTGTAAGAGCTGACTTGACACCTAGCAACAACCCCACCACCAATTAAGGTATTTTATTTTAAAAAAGGCCAAGGTGAGGTTCTTATATCAAAGCAGTCTCTCAGTACAGTCTGTTTTGCCATAAAGCAAATTTCTCTGTGATTTAGACAAAATGCTACTAGTAAATAAGAAAATGACATTGATTAACACAGAAGTTATGCCGGTTTATTTACAGTCTTTTCCCCATCAAGTTAATGTTTGAAGTGATAGGAGCAAGCTTTCTCATAAAAAAGAAAGAAAAAAACCCAAATCAAAAACAATCTTAACAATATAGGAAGATCTTAAAAAGACTAAATTTCTTATTTTGCTATTTTCCTTCAATACAAATAATGGCTGGCTAAGTTGGCTTCTGAAACCACTACATTTTCCACATCATAAAAACTTGTGAAGCTAAGAGTGTGTTTCTTCCCATGTATAGAAAAAAAACAAAAACAAATCACACACACACACATACACACACACACACAACTTTCTGATTGCTGAAGCCAAGTCTACACCACAGATGAAGATTTTACTGTTGATGAAATCAGTTTGTAGTAGAAGTGACTCTATCCTCATGGCTCCATGTGGAGGAGGATGTCCAAGGTACAAATGCTGGTGGAGATTGAACATGCCACTGTGTATTGTAACTGCCATGGTTTTCAGTAGGGCACTGGCCACAGGGTTCCACAGCTTTCCACAATCCT